AGGATTATTTTGCTCTGCTTCCTTGTAGATCCTGTAATGATCATAAGCGCAGTAATGGAGGCTGAGTAATTCAGTATGTAGTCATATTCGTAGGTGCACAACACGTTCCTGGACCGATGCTCAAGGAGATGCACTCCATTCTCGTCAATGGCAAGCCACAGGACCTTTGGCCAGTTGGAAGTAAAGGATTGCTGCAGAAAAAGAAAACCTCTTTAGACGTGGTGGCTTAAATCATTGAACACTTTACTGTGTTTTATAAATTCTAGTCTCAAAAATATTTCATGGGTTATGTTTTCTCCTTTAAAATTCTCAAGACAACTACTGATATTCAAGTTACACAATATAACAACAATACAACAGCAATAACTGACACTGTACATCAAAACAAAGATCTCAAACAGCTGCAAGCTCTGTTAAACTCACTGTAACATCAAATATTGTAGCTCTATGCAGTGGCCAAGACTTAATAAGGTTAAGGAAGGCTTGCTTTGCTTCCTGTGAATCCATGTTGAAGAGGCTCTGATGGTGCATTGCCACAGACTCATGGGTCACACTGGTCAGCAAGCGTGGGGAGAGAGGGGAGCTGTAATGGAGGCAATTATAATATCTAGAATTTTAACAACACTCAAGGCAAGGATATGTGAAACATGAAGGCAATATAATGCTGCAAACTCTATTCTACTGAAATAACTCACCGCTTCCATCTGCGTGACAGGGAATTTATCTGCACGGTGTCAAGCGTGGGGAGAGAGTGTGAGCTATCACCTCGCCGTAGTCCATGTTTGCCGTAAAGTTTCCTAGTTCTATCTGGGCTCTCAAGGAACACAGCATCACCTGTTAATGGAGGCAAATATAATATCTAGAATTTTAACAACACTCAAGGCAAGGATATGTGAAACATGAAGGCAATATAATGCTGCAAACTCTATTCTACTGAAATAACTCACCGCTTCCATCTGCGTGACAGGGAATTTATCTGCACGGAGTGTATAGAGGACTTGGAAGTAAAGGAGTTCTTTCTCCACATTGTCACTCAGGTCTATCCACTGCTCAAGAAGTAGGTGTTTCTAAAAAAAGATATACTTATTAATACACGATTATTAAGAAGGAATACAATGACAATTAACAGATGACACTTAACAAATTTTATACACTCATATACATATACAAAAATACACACACACACACACACACACATAGAAATAGACATTCTAATCACCTTAAACAGGAATATGTGATGGTTGTGGTGTTGAGTGGCTGCAGTAGACTGCCTGTAACGCTCCCACCGGGACATTACATCTGCCAGGACCTCTTCCATCAATATGCACCTTTCTGTCGTCCCCAACATCTCATAAATGGCATAGCCTGTATCAAGAATAAAAGGGCATTCATCACAGTTTACAGCTATTTATGTTCTATGTCCTGCATTTTCTCTCTTTCTCTTTCTACACACACACACACACACACATACACACACACACACACACACACACACACACACACACACACACATATGTATTAAGACATATATTGATGAAACTGACCCATGGTCAGGAAACCAAATGATGATATTTCCCTTGTAAAGTTATAATGAGATTCACATTAGTGTGTGTGTAGGTGTATATAGGTACATCAGTGTATATTTGCCCCTTTGTAGGTCTTCTGGATATGTATGTACCTGTAATATAACCCTCAATGCAAAGAAGAATCTTTCTGTTATATTTCTCAAAATCTTAATAAATGTACATGCTTACTCCTAAAACGAGTTTCTGAGGAGAAAACATAAATTTTATAAATAATCAATAAGCGGCATGATATCTAAGAATAACAACCTACTCACTCAAATCTTGAGTGACCATTTACTAAAATCATTTGAACAATACTTGCACTACATACATACAAATATCTTTTAAAGTACCTTTGGTGGTTTCTTTGAGTCCAATCTTGTGTTTGATTAGATCAACAACATCTGCTGTTGTTGCTGATGCATCAAACTCCAATGAATGGAACTGTCCATCCATGAAATGGAAGCGAGCATATATTGGTCTGCGATTTATTGTACATAAGATCTCCTGTTTTGAGGGAGCCCACTGCCGACGCCGATTGTTCAGAGCTTTAACAAGACACTGGAGGAAGGAGGAGTGCAAAGAGAACTGTTAATTCATTCATGTCAAAACCTAATGTTTAATTTCCATTTGAAAATACACTGTTCTATATACCAACTACAAACAGATACTATGTAACATACATTTTCTTATACATCAAATGTGTCTGAATATGATTTAATTACAAAACATGCCTGAATCTTTAATGTTCTTGTATGCCAATTCAAAATATATATATATATACACAAAGTTACCAAATTGCTACTTAAACGATAATTAGAATAGGAATATATTTATAGTTTGAAGACAGTCATGTCCCAAATAGAGTACTAGTCCCTTTTGTTCTCCATATCAGAGTGGTATATTTATGAATATCACTTGATATCAAAGCTGATTACAAATAAATGAATGAATGAATGAATAAATAAATAAATACTCATACTTATTAAACACTTCAAATTCTAATGACAAGTAAATAAGAGGGATATACAGATCTTGGTGCCACACATATTTCAAGAACTACATCGACTTACCTTCTCAGCATAACGAGCATACTTTCCCTCTTCGGACACATAGTCTGTGGCACAGCGCTGTAGGTGTGCACGGAGGTACTTTCTCACACACTTGTCAGTTGGGGGAATGACGGAGCAGAACAAAGTCAGCAAGGACCAATGCCGTAAGTTTACCCGCGAATTTGGATCTGTTGTGGGAAATGTCAATATGATCTATACAGAAGAGCAACTGAAATACTGGCATTTGTGGCTAACATTTGACAACCATGCAGATGTCTGGACTATCACATATACTGCAACAGGTTAACAATATCTGCAGGATACATGATGTAGGCAGAGTACCTCAGCGTACTTCCAAATAAAATGAAAGTGTCTGTTGCTTTTCATAATATTTGAGAGATGCTGGAGGTGCCTACATGCAAAGTTCAGAGAGAAAATATTAAATCTTTATCATGTGTCCTCTTCTTACCTGGATGATCTGTTGTTTGTTTGATGAGCTGGAGATAAGTCTCGTTAAGAAGGAGGTCTCGCTTCATACACTGCTCCACCACACCCTGAACCATTGTCAGTTGCTGGTCGTCACTTGTTACTGCTGCTTCAGCTGCAAATAGATTGGTGTAGATAAGAATTTTTTCACTTTACTTGTGTATTAAAATCTGTATATCATATGAGATTAGTTATCTAAGCTGCATTCACTACATAAATAATATATTATATGTGTCTCAACCTTGAATCACACCTTCAAAATTACCCTAGGATTCACTCTGGCACAGCTGAATCTACTTACCATTAGGATTAAGCCCCGCATAGGTGAGGATGGCAAGAGAGATCTGGAGTGCCTGCTGCTCAACCTCTGGCGTTGCGATCTTTGTGAGAGTCTGAGTCAAAGAAGTCTTGGAGAATGCCCAGAACATGTGGTGGAAGCCCTTGTATGTCTCTGAATTCTCCCCATAATCCTGTCGCAGCTTCTCTAGCTTCTGCTTGTTCAATCTGATCATCATCACATGAAAAAAAAAAAGGTACGCTTTTATAATTGCATACTATAACTCTCCGAATGTATTCTCAGGCCACCGAGACAAGGCAAGGCTAAACCGAGACCACCATATCTGGACTGACCTCCTCAGCGTACTGACGAAGAAGTTCCCGCCCTGGTCCTGAGGTTTCCTGAGGATGTTGGCATCAATGATCTGCCGCCGCGCATGCACCAGGTTGTAATACAACCGTATTCGATCTTCACCCGTAATCTGCTTCACCTGTCAAATGTAAGGATGCGTTAAAATGACTTCTAGTATGATTTTCTTTTCCTATGGTGCATTTTGACAATAAAATCTCAGTATTAGCCAAATAACCAAATTTATATTTAATCATTAAAGTTTATACAGAATATCACTACATAACTTTCAACAAACACTAACCTTCTTGTTAGAGTCCATGTCTTTTATCCAAGATGCCAGAAGTGGAGAATAACTAGCTATAAGGAAGCCTATTTCTTCCTTTTCTTTGGTTTCAAAAACAAAGCATTTATGCGCATCTGGCAGAGTTCTTAACAGGTTTATAGTGATGAAGTTGTCACTGAAAATAGAGGTTGAGATAATGAGCTGTGTGTATAAATGTATATGAGATATAATTTCATATAAAAAACTCCATGTTAGGGAGGATATATAGTACACTATATTACTAATACATATTATGAGTGATGTGAATTATGAAACAATAGGATTAACTGATCTAGAGTTGATTGTGGGACTAAAAATATAGCTTAAAAGGAAGGACTAACTTACCTTGGGTCTAAAAAGATTGATTCTATGTCACAGTATCTATACTCATAAAGGATGAATTTGTCATCTGGTTTAATCATAGCAATGCCATCACAGTTCACTCCCAGGATAAGCGTGTTGCCGTAAGACCAGTAACCTCTATATGAGACTTGGAACATTGTAGTTCCATAGAGAGGGAACTGCATGACACAAGTCAGATACCACACTTTAGCCACGATGTCTGTCTTGCCGGTGCCATACTGCCTGTGTGCCTGTCCAAGCACTGGTATCTGAGGAGAGATAAATACTCTTATTTCAAAATCAATTACCCCCTTCAATTAATCTCTTTTCTACTATCGAAATGGTTCATGGTATGCAATATACTCCTCTAAGTAGTTCCTGGTAGCAGTATCTCAGAATACAAAAGCCGCATCCAAACACTCACCCATTCAGCCTGCTTTCTTCCTTGAGCTATGCGGGCTGGCAGGTAGGACTGAATATCGGCATAGAATTCAGTCTTGCCATCCTTTGGATCACCGAGTGCTACCTGTGCCTGGAGCCCAGCCAACTGAAGAGCTACTTTTTCATTGATTGGGAAGTCATCAGCCTGTGTGCAAGTAAAGGGGATAAAAGCATTAGCACATATACTAAGAAGAAACAGTCTTTAGATTTTAAAATTATAAAAGACATAAAGAGACTGGACAAAATCATCTTTTTCAAAACTTATTTGCCCAAATTTGAACTACAAACTTTCTGGGACCATACTAGAGAAACTATCTGCACTACAGAACTTATTCCAAGATGGACCTATGATATTTCAAAAAGTGAAACTAGCTTTATAGAATATAAAGTATTTCTTTCCCTATCATCCACTTTGCAGCACATCCCACAAATCAGCGTCACTTAAATTGAAATATAATTGGAACTGAAGTGTTCCCAGGAATTACATGAAGTCTTAAAATCATACTTACTCTTACTACACTATATACTGCCTGAGCATATAACAGGTTCACTTGCACTGGATCGCTTGGAATTTCCCGAGGAGAGCGGAAGAGACGTTTGCGGAAAACAAATCTGTTCTCCCCAGAACTGACCGTTTGTGAGGAGCGTTTATTGAGAGTTCCATAGTTGCTTGAACTTCCAACCTTTTGTTGTTTCCTGAAAGGGAATTAATGAAATCCATTACATATTGTTTATGTCACATATAATGCTTCAAGTAGCTATTCAAATGAAGTCAATGAAAAGATCTCAAGAAAAGAAAAAATGGTGACAAGTTACAGCCAAGGTCACTCACGTTTCCCAAGATGATATCACATCGTACAGATACTCGTGGATCTTTACGTGCTTGTCTCCATCCAGACCAGATTCATATATTGCCCAGCCCTCTAAATTCGCCAGTCCAAGCCGGTCTGCAAGCTTCTGCATGGCATCACCAGCAGTGTCCCTTGGATGGACATCAATGGCCTTGGTGCGGCCGTCCAGGAAGAAGAATCTGAAAAAAATAAAATAAGATAAATAAATAAAAATGAAAAAAAAAAAAAAAAAAAAAAAAAAAAAAAAAAAAAAAAATCAGACACACACACACACACACACACACACACACACAAAAGACAAAAAAAATTACGTTCAGGAAGTATACACTAAATATAAATAATATTTTATGGTATAATTAAAATAACTTAAAATAGCAAGACATTGGAAATTCTGAATGGCCTCCCAATGCAAATGCAACATCAGTGAATGTGCAAACTAACCTGCACACAATGGTTCCAAGTTTTTTCATGGCTGCAATCTCCACTGAGGAAGGTGGCAGTCTTCTGCAACTGACCTTCGTATTTTTACAGTTTTCGAGGCACCACTGCACATACTGCCGCAGCTTTCCATCAAGGCTAAGGCTCTTTTGAAGGAAGCTTACAAAATACTGTTAAAGGGAAAAAAAGTGCTTTAGGGGAGTGTCCACAGAATACTGCTCCGTCTAATCTATCTCACATTTTAAATATCTATTATAATATAAAAGTTACTTTAGAAATGCAAATAATAAAAGAAATCATTAAATCATTACTGGAAAACATGACAAAATAGTAAAAAATGGCAAATCACAAATCATGAGGACTTGTTACTGACCACACAATTCGAACAATCTCTTTCCTTGGGTGCCATCAATACACAATGCCTCCTTACCTTATGAAGAAGTTTTCCCGGTTGGAAAGCCACAACACACAGACACAACATCAGCCAAAGCCGTTCCAGTGATTCTGTGCTCGGGTTATTGGTGACCTGCCGCATGCACTGGACGAAGATTTCGTTGCGCAGCTCCTCCCGCTCCAGGCCATGAGCGATAATGTTCTGGATAGTTGTTATCTCTTGCTCGGGTTTTAGTTCTCCTCGGCAGTATTTGCATAAGTCCTGTTAAATTTAAAATTATTTTTTTTCAAGCTGTTGCATATAGGTAAATAACTTGTGTCCCTGAGTATGGAAGAGATAAGTCCATCAAAATCTGAATTCATGCATCTTCAGTAATACACAAAATGAAGGATATTTTGAGTTCATGAACCATCATCAATAAAAAGATATTCAAATGGCATATCTTTTAAAATCATTATAGTGAAATGCAAATATTCTAAAATGCATACAAAATAAAACTGATCAGGAATTTCCAATGCTAAAACATGATAGAACGATATCTACATTACTGGTAAAAGGTGAATACAGACCCTAAAGATTGTGCAAGCAAGGTTGATGTTTTCTGGGTCATAAAGGTGGACATGAGAGGTAGGGATGATGGAGGAGCGAGAATACGTGATCAGCTCATACTTGGGAAGGAACTCTGCTGTGGAACGTTTGCGGGTCAGTGTAGACATGATGGTGCCTGTGGTGCAGGAAATAAGAAGAGTTAATTGGGAGAATGCTATTGGCTAAGGACTAATGACACTTGGGTAATACATGGCTAATGTCTTGTCGAAGAGTGTTATAATATCATTCGATTGTCTATAGCAATGCACTGGGACCAAAAGTGAATAACTATTGGACACTCAAATTATAGAATTAACTTACTGATACTGTGCAATGCTATAAAAATCAACAACATTTCAATCCGTACTTACCCTCAGGCGAACGTTCATGATTATTGAAATACTTTTCTGCAAACTCAATCATATCAAAATGATTCTGGCTCTCGTTCTCTTTGTTCTCCTCAAGCTCCTCCAGTTCGTGAAGCTTGCGCTCAACTCTCTGCTTCCGACGTTCAACTCTGTCTGGGTCTTCAACCACGCCATTGTTGCGACTGCTCACCCGCTGCTATAATATGGTATGATAATTAATATGATACCAATGCATGGTTATGTCTTAACCATATCTGCATAACTATTAGAAAATTACTAAAATAATTTAAGTAATCATTTGAAACTTAATTAACTTTTAACTAAATAACAAACTGTAAACTAATGGGATTCACAAAGCTTTATAACATTCCAACTTACCACAGGACTTCTTGTACCGGATCGTGACACCCGTGAGGGGCTTCGAGCAGATGGGGATCTCGAAGGCCGCTTCTGACCCGAGGCTCTTCGACGACGTTCTAGAGAATGTTCTCGAGGTCTTCTTAACTCAACCTCTTCCTCTGGAGGAGCAGGTGGAGGGCCTGGAAATGGGTGGAAATGTCTTGCTGGTTATACTTTTTTAAAAATTAAATCCTTGATAGGCTGACATTATACAATGCTACACTTGCACACCAACAAGTAAAACATGTGGTGATCATATGTGTGTGTGTGTGTGTGTGTGTGTGTGTGTGTGTGTGTGTGTGTGTGTGTGTGTGTGTGTGTGTGTGTGTGTGTGGGTGTTTTAGTGTGTGTGTGTGTGGGTGTTTTAGTGTGTGTGTGTGTGTGTGGGTGTTTTAGTGTGTGTGTGTGTGTGTGTGGGTGTTTTAGTGTGTGTGTGTGGGTGTTTTAGTGTGGGTGTTTTAGTGTGTGTGTGTGTGTGTGTGTGTGTGTGTGTGTGTGTGTGTGTGTGTGTGTGTGTGTGTGTGTGTGTGTGTGTGTGTGTGTGTGTGCATGTATGCATGTGCATGTGCCTTTAAAACTCTCCTTATTCACACACAACCGCAATCACAACAACCAAACTAATGGAATACATCAAAACCAAATCCTGACTTGTATGACCGATACCTGTGGCGGAGGTGGAGGAGGCAGGCTGTCCCCACTCTCTCTGTTACCCTTCTGCTCTGCCGCCCCTGGGACTGGATGAGGGGGCATGGACAACGCTGGCGGAGGAGGTGGCGTTTGTTCCGCGACTTGTGGGGGGGAAACAAGGTCCTGAGGCAGCGGAGGAGGAGGGAGAGAATCTGGGGCGTGGGGGGGTGGAGGCGGAGGCAGAGGGGATTCCTGTCCTTCCCCTTCGCTGCGGTTGAGAGCTTCGATCTGTGCAACGGAATACATTCAAATACAGAAATATTGCGTGGGATACTCTACCAAAAAAAGTAAAAAATGGACTAAAACCAAAAGAAATTTATGGACACTGTATGTCTAAAATATTGTTCTATATACAACCATGTTTCACTTTTGCTATTTCATCTTCAGAAATATAATTTGAAGATCAGAAGTAACCTGTATTTCACGCTAAAAACAAGTCATTACAATTAGAGTCTTATTACATCACATCTAGCTGAGAGGGATATAAATATAAGAACCTCTTCAAACTTGAAAACTAACCTCCTCTTCCACATTGTCGGCAAGTTCTTCCATCTGCCGAGATATTTCATCAAGGACATGTCTCTCTGATTCCATGTTGGATAAGAAGGAGAACAGATTGTCGAGGTCGACCCCTTCTCCTGAGCCCTGAGATGCGTCGTCTGGATTGGTGGGGCCGGAGGTGGCCAGGCGCGTGTTCACCGTCTCGGCCATGTTGGAGAGTGTGGCCATCTCCTCCTCGACTTTCCTGGATTATTCAATTAAATGTTACAATTTGCATTTCCTATGTACATTCTTTGTTATGCGCCTAAAGCTACAAAAAAAAAAAATAAATAAAGAACAAAAAGATAATAATTTCCTTCTTGTGATTTGGTACAAATTGAAATCCATCTCTAGACAGATTTCAAGAGCACAGAACAATTTATGTGTGTGAGTTTGTGGTTGTGTGTGTGTGTGTGTGTGAGTAATTGTGAGTGTGTACATGGATGCATCTGCTTGTGTGTGCATGCAGCTGGTTCTTACTCTTAAACATCTGTGTCACTTCAATTTCATAAAGTAATTGTCTAAAAAAAGATCCATAACAGGAAATACAGCACCAAGAAAAATCCAGCATGCAAATGAGTCACATTTCCATATAAAATCTAGGAAGAATAACATGAAATCCCAAAAACAGGCATGAATCATGGGGCTGACAAATCCCAAAAGGACTCATAAGTACTTCGAAGTTTACAATCAAAAGCACTCTAGTATTCAGAATGATAAGGGAATAAGAAAATTAAACTGTAGTTGCTGCATAATCAACAATCTTATTAACAAGTTACTCTGATGACTAATAATTCTAAACAACCTTCAAAAAAGTTATTCCAAAAATACTAATTCAGTCGCAAGTAATCCAATAACAATGACAAAACATCCTTCAATCAATCGCTTATCATAAGACAAAGCGAAACCATGGACAGTCCCTTTACGTAAATACTAGAGAGCTTTCCTTACAGCGAGAGATTTCAAGGAACCGAATGCATACTCACCCTTCCCCTACAGCTGCTAGCCCATCATATTGTTTGCTTGAAAGAGAAGCAAGAGCACATCAAGCAAAATTAAAGCAAAAGTCGCTAGACTACATAAATGTATGGATATATAAGCACTTTGAGACAACTATTCACTTATATCTGAGAATGGAAGATATAATGAACAGAACATGAATCAAATATGGAACAAAAGAAGCATTATCAACTAGAGACGAGACATGTAGGAGAATATGTTCATTTTTCCACCCAGAGAAATGGTCAAGCACAATTCATTCCGGTCTTTAATCACTTTTACAGTTATCAGTTATTGATATACATGTAAGTATACTGTGTGTGTGTGTGTGTGTGTGTGTGTATGTGTGTATGTGTGTGTGTGTGTGTGTGTGTGTGTGTGTGTGTGTGTGTGTGTGTGTGTGTGTGTGTGTGTGTGTGTGTGTGTGTGTGTGCGCATGTGAGTGTGAGTGTGCCAGTGCGTGTGAGTGTGCAAGTGCATGTACATGTGTGTGTGAGTGTGCATGTGCATGTTTATGTGCGTGTGTTCATGCATGTGTGTGTGCATCTGCATCTGCATGTGAGTGTAATATGCATTTCTATTCAAATATATGTATGCATCTCTCTCTTCCCACAAAGAAGCAAGCATTAGAACCAAGGATAAGAATAAAGATTATGAAAGCATAATATTCCAGCATTCACAGATTTAGAGCTCAGCATTTCTCCCATAATGGAAACACAGGGAAGTGAATCAACCTCTAAGGTAAAAGCTTCCAATAGACATGCAAAACAGGTACGGAAAAATCAGTGAACCCCCCAAAAAATCAGTAAAATTAGATTTTACTGCATATGTCGGAATTTTCCCTTCAAATTACAATCAATTATATAAGATGTTAATATTGTTAATAAAGCTAACACTGTAGTTAAAGTATGCAGAAATAAGAAATTTATTTTGGCAATATTAGCTTTTAGCAAAAATATTAGCACCACTCTTTCTAAAACGTATCAGAATTTATAATCAGTTATATCTATGTGTTAAGAGTCAAAACTCCTTGTTACTTAACCACCCATAGCAATGAAAAAAAAAAGTTAATCCTAGATTGATCCCACTTGACTACTATTCCAAAAGCCTTCTCTCGCCCATACCTCTGCGCCTCCTCCAACTCTTTTCTCTTCTCCTCGTCTTCTGCCAGCTTAAGGGCTTCCTCTTCCCTCTGCCGTCTCTCCTCCTCCAGCTTCTCTCGTCTCCGCTGTTCCTCCTCAATTCGCTTCATTTCACGAAGGGCATTTGCAACCTTAAAAAAAGGATTAGTAAGTTGTTTATATTAACAGACAATACCATTTCCTCACTTCTGACTATTTTCAGTGACTCTTTTGAAGCTCTTTTATTGTGAAATGTTTTAGACTAGAATTTTTTTCACATTACCTCTCGGGCAAACATTCCTCGGACATTAGACTGAATAATCACTGCCGCCCTCCTCTTTCTCAGGAATACCAGTCGTAGCCTCCAGCCACGGTAGCGATTCTGGATGTTTATACATGCTGCTCGTATCCTGTTATATTCTGTAAAATTGAAAACTTGCATCAAGCATTGTCATGGGAATGAGACAAAATGCAAACAAAGAAATTAACAATATATGAGAGAGAGATTCAGATCATTAACTAACCCATTCTATGCTTATGCATGCGATATGCGGCCTGGATTTTGACGGCTGCATCACGCATTGTGGTGACTCGCTGGTCTTCTAGTGGCTCATACACCTTCTGCCGGATGAATACTTTGCTCTTGCCAACTTGCCACTCCCTTGGCGGTAAATTCTGACCCTTCATGATGTCACTAGAATGAAGAACATAATACAACTTATCCAATACATCTTGGTTTGGAAAATTGGGAAAAAGTATCCTCTATTTTTGTTGTCAAAATTGCTTCCTTCAAATTAGTAAATAAGTAAGTTTATTACTCACATCACATGGTCTTTTGGCGTCGGATGTCTGCGCTTCTTATTTAGGCAAAAGTATCTGGTGATGAAATCTGTGAAGGTCATATGAATAGGGAATCCTTCCTTGCGGATCCTGATGATATCATTCATGCCCAAATACCGCAGCTGGTCGAGCACCATCAGTTCATCGTAGGAGTCAGCGGATTTGCTTTTGTTTGGCTTAATGCATCTAACATACCTGAGGATGAAAGATAGGGATTTCTTTCAGAAGTCAATTTCAAACTCTTCTATTGTAGGTGAAAGTAAGTTCATTTTAACCCTAAAAGGAATAAAATAGATGAACTTGATATTTTTTACTTATTTAGGATATCATTCTTAGTTAAAAAGTATCCTTACCATGGATTAGTTGACTGCAGGACATCAACCAAAGCCTGAAGTTGGTTGCGGAAAGCATCAGCAACTGTTGGCTTTCCCTTTGAGGTTCCTCTGGAGATTGTGCTGTGTATGGTACCCATTCTGGCAATGGTGCAGCCAAGGAGATCCTGTAAAAATAAACCTTTTGCTGTACAAGAAGTTTGCATGGACAACTTTGGTTCATAGCTGTTTTGCATATCTCAGTTCATAAGATTAGAAAAGCCTTGATTTGACTGAAACTTCATTACAAACCTGGAATCTGATGAGATCGGCAACAAATTTGTTCCGTGATTTGTTCATCAATTCGAAAAATACATCTTGCTGTGCATCTCTGTTCTTGTCAACAAAGCCTTTCACTGTGTATATCACTTTACCTGTAAAAAGTCAGTCATTATGAAGTTGGCCTAAAAATATACTATTAAGCAAACTCTCACTCAATAGAATGTATTTTCTTTTAAAACTTCTCTTGCAAAATGTTACTAGTATAAAAAAAAAACTATACCAAACAAGAATAAGAAAATATGGAACAAGATCAACCACTAGATACAATTTCATGCCTCACAGGAAAAAAAAACCATCCAAATGTTTATCCACAAGAATACCATAAAATAAACAGTAAAGTCTCTACAACTCAAGGACCCCAAAGTATACCTGCATAGTGGTTGATACCAAATTCCACTTCCCACTTTCTTCTGTCTTCACCCTTGATGTAGTTCGGATGGGAATCAAATTCTTGGTGTAGCTTGGTCAAGTAGGATTTGTCGGCACCCTGTGGAGATTATGCTTTTTTTAATTTGCGAAGAGGATCCAATTTTCATAAAATAACTCTACAGTTTTCTGTATTTTAATGGGGTTAATTCTTTCTTTGTTGAAAGCAGAGGAGCAGATCTTTCATAGGATGTTTCCAAAATCTATGTTTTCTAATGTTTTAAAATGCTTGAAATAAAACTGAATAAACATTCCAAAATTCTTAAGCAAAATATTCTAAATTATCATAATCTAATCTTAAAGTCTTTCTGCCCTCCCAGTGCAATAAAAACACCAAAGATAATGCTCAATAATCTCTCAAATAATTTGATTCAAATCTCCATACCATCAGACTGTGAACCTGTTCCCTACCTTGGGCATTCGGCACTCTTCAGATAAGAGTTTGAGGATGCACCTTGGAGGCTTTTCGAGCAGTTCAAGGCACTCTGTGTTGTCAGTGAAGGTGATGTGGGAAAACTTGATCTCCTCCTGACGGTACTGTTAGAAAAAAAAAAGAGTTATATTTGCCTTTTACCTTTCGTTTGGTATTGCCATATTCCTCTAACAAAATATTCCAACTTGCACAAATATATTGAAGTTTTGTGATGATTACTCACAATTTCTTGCTCCAATGCAAACACGTAATGATTAAAGAATTTGTGTAGTTTTTCGTTGGTATAGTTGATACACAACTGTTCAAAAGAGTTAGTTGCAAAGTTCTCGAATCCAAAGATGTCCAGCACACCTAAAAATCTGCAATAACAAAAGAAACAGAATGAACATGAACTAAAAGAGAAGGATAAAGTAGTTTTATTCTATTACTAATTAAATTTCCAAAGATCTCCGTGATCAAAACCTCCTTCAGATGCTTTGCCTCAAGATCATTATCTATTATTATTATCGCTACTCTGTCACTTTCACGCCATAACATCGACAGCATCACTCTACCTCGTCTGGTCCTGCCCAGGGTTGGTGCACTTGTTGATGTGGTCAACAAGCCAAGCAAATGTTCTCGAATACAGCGCTTTGGCCATGGCATGCCTGTTTTCTCGAGCCTCAGCAAGCTTGAGTGGAATGCGAGTGATGTTTCCTCTGATGTTAATCTGGCGCTGAAGAACAATGCCCAGCAGGTCCTCCTCCTCCAGATTCAGCAGTTCTGCGACAATGGTCAGCACCTCCTTGTCGCTTGTACTCAACTCGCACTTCTCGCCATCAATGTCTACGAACTGATTACGTAGAAGAAAAGGACAAAAAGCAAATTAAAAAATGAAGATATGCAGAAACTCAATAAGGAAGTATGGGATAAATAAAAACATCACTGAGTATTGGTTATAAAATATGAATTAGAACTTAATCAATTACCCTAAAAAATCCTCACAATAACTGGACAAGAATATAAACTTCATCTGACACTGTCATAGCAGATGTAGAATCTTAAACCATCTACTGCCTCAGTCCTTTAAGAAATATTAGAATTACAACTCACCTCCAAATTGCCTAGCCACAGAATAGCAGCCAGCGTGCCGAAAATGCCATCGCAGATCTCTGGCGGAACGTGAAGCACATTGAAGGCCAGTCGGAGTCCATCAAACTTCTTGACGTCATCCACCCCGTCTATGGTGATGCAACCCGACTGATTCAGGTAGGTGTAGAAGCTCGCCGGCCGCAAGTGGAACTGGTCTGCGATTTCCTTGTTATTCTGGAAGAGGGAGATGGATGACTTATGAGCTAGTCTACGGTAGATTAATGTCAATAATTGATAGATCATATATCTGCTAAACTAACTCAGTTGCTTAGGTTTTGATAGACATTTGGATCAAT